CCCCGTCTCTACTAAAACTACAAAAAATTAGCTGGGCATGGTGGCGCGTGCCTGTAATCCCAGCTACTCAGGAGGCTGAGGCAGGAGAATTGCCTGAACCCAGGAGGCAGAGGTTGTGGTAAGCCGAGATCGCGCCATTGCACTCCAGCCTGGGTAACAAGAGCGAAACTCCGTCCCAAAAATAAAAAATAAAAAATAAAAAAATAACTACTAGATGAATAAGTTGTAACTGTAATTCTAATTCACAACAACGAAAGAGAATCCCATAAACATAAATAGCACATTCAGTAGTTCCTCCTCCAAAACTTGAAAATAATCAATAAGTCAGCTGGAAGGCAAAGCCAATATGAATATCTATATAAGGTAGCACAGCTGCAAACCATGAAATGGAGCATGAGGATTCTAAAAGGTCAAGGGAGACTGCAACAAAGGGTATGTCAGACCACAGGACAGAGAGGAGGGAGTGGTTGAGTTTATGGTGGAGCTTATTCTGAAATTTAGCGTAATAAAACAAAAGGCTGCCAGCCATGATGATGGGAGGCTCCTTTTAAAGGCATGGCCAGTAGGAAGCAGCCTTCCCTCCTGCTAAAACTCATAATATAAATACCTGCTCACACCAGGAAGTTTGAACAATTTCCACAAGAAGTGGGGATCCAAGGAAAGCAAGACACATTATCTAGAACAGACATTCCATAAAGCAAAAGCATCAGTATACTGGGCTGTGCAGTGGTAAAGTATTCCATGCCCTCAAACGTCACCTTTTTTTTTCTTGCTCCTCCTTCTCTATTTTGTGGGATGCAACATATGTTGAAAAGAGATGGCAACATCTATTTAAGAGCTTGACAAACTCTACCATGGCATCCTCTTTAGACATGTTTCCCAGGGCTGCCCATTCTCTCCTGTAAGGAATAACAAGAAAAGTTACCTACCCTTCTTAATAGAATGAGAACTTGATTGAATTTAAACCTAAATATGAACAATTCTCAATTATAACTGAGAATATAAAATGAAGAATGATTCTACCATAAGCAAAAGGCTCAAAACTTCAAGTTTTAACAAGTATGTATTGACTTACTAAATTAGATACGCCACAGACAATCCAAACAACTGTATTGCTGACGATTCCCAAATAGCAAAAAGGTACCAATGTTTTCTTTTTCTCTTTTTCTTTTTTTTTTGAGACAGGTCTCACTCTGCTGCCCAGACCGGAGTGCAGTGGTGCAATCTTAGCTCACCAGAACCTCTACCTCCCAGGCTCAAGTGATTCTCCTACCTCAGCCTCCTGAATAGCTGGGATTATAGGCATGTGCCACTCCGCCAGCTAATTTTCCCTTTTTTTTGAGACAGAGTCTTGCTCTGTCGCCCAGGCTGGAGTGCAGTGGTGTGATCTCGGCCCACTGCAACTTCCACCTCCTGGGTTCAAGCGATTCCCCTACATCAGTCTCATGAGTAGCTGGGACTACAGGTGCGCCATCATGCCCAGCTAATTTTTGTATTTTTAGTAGAGATGAGGTTTCACCATATTGGCCAGGCTGGTCTCAAACTCCTGACCTTATGATCTGCCTGCCTCAGCTTCCCAAAGTGCTGGGAATACAGGTGCGAGTCACTGTGCCCGGCCTAATTTTTTTATTTTTAGTAGAGACAGGGTTTCACCATGTTGGTCAGGCTGGTCTCAAACTCCTGACCTCAAATGATCCACCCACCTCGGCCTCCTGAAGTGTTGGGATCACAGACGTAAGCTGCTGCACCTGGTATATTTTTCTTATATAATATCTGGGCCTTAATTAAACAAAATACTCAATGTACTTTTTTTTGTCACAATTTTCTTTATGTTTCAATAAGGGAATCAATTACTATGTATTTTAAATGGCCGCTTTTAATATTAATTAGGAAGAATCAAATGAAGCTCTACTTATCATATGTTCATAATCAGATGAGTTAATATTACGGAAGAATCCATAATATTTAGCCATAAACATCTCTAAGCTAAAAACAGATAAACATCTGAAGACTCCACAAGCTGCAAGCAAAAATGTTCAGCTCCTATTCTAAGCTAATGAACCAGCTATTCACGTCTTAACCAATACATATTGTACCCTTTGCCAACATTATCCTCATTAAATTCACTACACAGAAAAACACTTACCTCCTGTCATTCCCTAATACATCAAAGAATCCAACCTCAGGACAAGTGTCTGGATTATACGGGCCCATAAGAACCTGCTTATGCAGTGCCACAAGCTTCAGCTTTTCTTCATAAGTTGGATGAAATGCTTTGCCATCTTTTTCTATAAGAAAAAGAAACACAAATAAAACAATTAGCACTGGCAAAATACATGATTTTCAACATTAATACTAAAGCTTTGCTACAAAGTATGTCACAAATTGCCTGTAATAGACAGAAACACTATTACTGTGAAATTTTTATTTCAATTACTACTTTCTTTTTCTCTTTTTTTGCCTATGGTATTCAATAATATATATTTTTATTGTTAGAGTCTTACTCTCGCAATGGCGTGATGCTGGCTCACTGCAGCCTTGACCTCCCTGACTCAAATGATCCTCCTACCTCAGCCCCCCAAGGAGCTGGGACTACACATGTGTACCACCAAAACCAGCTATTTTTGTATTTTTGCAGAGAAAGGGCTGCGCAGGCTGGTCTCAAATTCTTGGGCCTCTCATCTCAGACTTCTTTCCAAAAGTGCTCTGGGATTTGAGCCAGCATGCCTGGCCCAATTACTACATTTTATTAGAAACAGAGCTGACTGGGCGTGGTAGCTCACTCCTGTAATCCCAGAACCTTGAGAGGCCAAACCAGGTGGATCACAAGGTCAGGAGACCGAGACTATCCTGGCTAAGAGGGTGAAATCCAGTCTCTACTAAAAACACAAAAAATTAGCTGAGCGTGGTGGTACACGCCTGTAGTCCCAACTACTTGGGAAGCTGAGGCAGGAGAATCACTCGAACTCAGCAGGCAGAGGTTGCAGTGAGCCCAGATGGTGCCACTGCAATATAGCCTGGGGTGACAGAGCAAGACTCCATCTCAAATATATATATATCTACACGTGCGTGCGCGCGCGTGTGTGTGTGTGTGTGTGTGTGTGTATATATATATGTATTAGAGCCTAAAATGGAAATCCTGAATGCTAATTTTTTTCTTTTTTTTTTTTTTTTTTTTTTTTTTTTTTTTTTTTTTTTCTCGGTGGGGGGGGGGAAGGTCTCGCTTTATTGCCCAGGCTGGAATGCAGTGGCATGATCACAGCTCACTGCAGCCTCAACCTGCTGGGCTTAAGCTATCCTCCCATCTCAGCCGCCAGAGTACCTGGGACTACAGAAACATGCACCATCATACCTGGATAATATTCTTCTTTTTGTAGAGACAAAGTCTCACTATGTTGCCCAGGCTGGTCTCAAACTCCTGAGCTCAAGTGATTCTCCTGCCTCAGTCTCTCAAAGTGCCAGCATTACAGATGTGAACCACCATGCCTAGCCTGAATTATGTTGTAAAAATAAGCCAACTAACTATCAATGCTTATGCTAAAGCTACTACGGAAAAACCCATCTGCCAAGCTACAGTCAGGCTGCAGCCTCGACCTCCCAGGCTTAAGCAATCCTGCCTCAGCCTCCCAAGAAGCTGGGCCTATAGGCATGTGCTACCACATCTGGCTAATTTTTTATTTCTTGCAGAGGCAATGTCTTACAAATGTTGCCCAGACTGGTCTTCAACTCCTGGACTCAAGCAATTCTCCTGCCTCAGCCTCCCAAAGTACTGGGATTATAGGTATTAGCCACCATGCCCAGTTCAACAATCAATTTTTAAAATAGTTTTTTTTTTTTTTTCAATAATTTTTAGCCAAGAGAAAAAAACTTAAAATAATTTTATATTAGTACCTTTTAACATGATCATGCATAAGAGAATACAAACACTTTGAAAGGCTGTCTTAAAAAATGTATCCATCCCACTGAGGCAGTATGATGTGGTGGAAAAGGCTTTGGAATTGGATGGCCTGGGTTTAAATCTCATCTGAGATACTTCCTAGCTATGTGACCCTTCAACCTCTCAGTTTACTCATCAATAAAGAGAGGGTTACACTTCAGAGGTAATAGGATTATTATTAACAACATTAATGCTTTTCTTTCCTTCATCTGATTGCATCTGGTAGGTTTCCATATAGGCAATTAAGAGTGCAGCCAGTTTGACCTAAAAAGACTAACTGCCACCAACATTTAAAAGCAGTATGAAATTGGGTTCTGGTATAATGGGAAATACTGAGAGAACAGTTCTGCTTCTTTGATAAATGGCAGCATTAACTACTGGTTGATTCCAATAACAGACTACCAGGTTTAAAAAAAGGGGGGGGGGCTTGAAAGCAGTATATGCTACTTATATGTCTCACTCATGCATCTGGTGGTGAAATAAAATATGAGTGAGAAGAATATGGGTTAAAGAACGGCAGGAAACTCAGAGAAGAAAAAATATAGAAGCTGCCAATAAATGTCCAACAAGATATTCAACCTCACTAGTCAAGAAATAGAAATTAAAAGCATTAGATACCAAGACCACCACCTCCCATCAGATAAACAAAAAAATTAGATAACATCGAAAGTTGTTAAGATCCTACAAACAGGTACCCATTCTCATATATGAATGCTGTAACTATAAACTGTTACTGTTATCTTGAAGGCCAATTTGGCAATAAACAATAGTCCCCACCTTATCCCCTAGCGGATGCTTAAAACCGCAGATAGTATTGAACCCTACATATATTATGTTTTCCCTATATGTACATATCTATAATTTATAAATTAGACACAATAAGAGATTAACAAGAATAAAATATAACAATTATAACAATATACAACAATAAGTTATGTGAACGTGGGGTTTCTCAAAATATCTGATTGTACTCCACTCACCTATTTTCAGGCCTTGATGGACCCCACGTATCTGAAACCAGGGAAAGCAAAACCATAGAAAAGGAAAGACTCCTGTATTTCAAAACTATAAATGCATATGCCCTATGATCCACTCACTCCAGTTCTCATTACATATGCTTGCTAAGCACTCCCAAATATATAGGAGGAGTTAGATACAAGGACACTCATTGCAGCACTGTTTTCTTATTACTGGAAATAACTTAAAAGGTTATCGATAAGGGAAAGTTGAAACAATGCGGTACAGTCATGTTCTACATAATGGCATTTCAGTCAAGGACTGATTGTTTATATGACTGTAGTACCATAAGATTATAACGGAGCTGAACATTTCCTATGGCCTAGTGGTGTGGCAGCTGCCATAACATGGTGCAATACATAACTCAAGTGTTTATGGGGATGCTGGTGTAAACAAACTTACTGTGCTGCCAGTTGTATACAAGTATATAGCACATACAACTATGGACAACACATATTTGGTGACACTAGTCATCAAATACTTGATAAGAATATTAGTCACCAAAACTTTTCTTACACTATTACGTCACATAGCCCAAAACAACTTCCTTCTCATTTTTTTTTGAGATGGAGTCTCACTCTGTTGCCTAGGCTGGAGTGCAGTGAGTGGCACAATCTCAGCTCACAGCGGCCTCTGCCTCCGGAGTAGCTGGGACTACAGGTGTGCACCACCACACCTGGCTAATTTTTTTATTTTTAGCAGAGATGGGGTTTCATCACATTGGCCAGGCTGGTCTCCAACTCCTGACCTCAGATGATCCACCCGCCTCGCCTCCCCATAGTACTAGGATTATAGGCGTGAGCCACCATGTCCAGTACCTTCTCACTTTTAACAAATGGTGGTAAGTTGAAAAATAGCTTCAACTTCAGATTTTAGCCTTGAGATTTAGAAAGTTTTTCTTTTTTAAAACAAAAGAAAAGCATTGACCAGTCAGGCACGATGGCTCACACCTGTAATCCCAGCACTTTGGGAGGGCAAGGCAGGTGGATCACCTGAGATCAAGAGTTTAAGACCAGCCTAGCCAACATGGCGAAACTCTGTCCACTAAAAATATAAAAATTACCAGGCGTGGTGGCACGTGCCTGTAGTCCCAGCTACTCAGGAGGCTGAGGCTGGAGGATCACTTGAGTCCAGGAGTTCTGGGCTGTAGTGCGCTATGCAGATAGGATGTCCACACTAAGTTTGGCATCAATATGGTGACCTCCCGGGAGCAGGGGACCCCAGGTTGCCTAAGGAGGGGTGAACTGGCCCAGGTCGGAAACGGAGCAGGTCAAAACTCCCATGCTGATCAGTAGTAGGATTGTGCCTGTGAATAGCCACCGCACTCCAGCCTGGGCAACATAGTAAGACCCTGTCTCTATTAAAAAAAAAAAATGTAAAAAAAGAAGAAAATATAAAAATTAGCTGGGTGTGGTGGCACACATCTGTAATTCTAGCTACTCAGGAGGCTGAAGCAGAATTGCTTGAACGAGATGGAGGTGGCAATGAGCCGAGATCATGCCACTGCACTCCAGCCTGGGTGACAGTGCAAAACTGCATCTCAAAAACAAAGAAAGAAAGATGATAACCTATATCATTTTATCTTGAGCCTTATAAAAGAACATATGCTGCCAATGATTCAAGAAAAAAAGATGTGGTGGGCCTGAGAGTGCACTTTTCCTTTCTTTTTTTAAGTATAAATTCAATTAAGTGGTTTTAACTAAATAAATGTCAGTAAAGCTAAAATCACGTGGAAACTATTCACCTGAAGACCACTTTTCTGGTCATGCAATATAGCAATTTTGAACATACACACAAAAAATTATTATTTTTGCTGCAGGAGGGTGATTTGAATAGCTGAGGCAAATAGATATGAAAAATATTTTTTGAAATTACTATTACTATAAAATTATCTGTAAAATACTGCTATTTGGGTTTTTTACTAATGGAAGGAGGGTTCATTTCCTACCAGATGATAAATTTGCTTCTTTTTGAGACAGGGTCTCACTCTGTTGCCCAGGCTGGAGGGCAGTGGCACAATCACAGCTCACTGTAGCCTTGAATTCCTGGGCTCAAGGGATTCTTCCACCTCAGCCGCCTGAGGAGCTGGAACTACCAGTGAGTGCCACTATGCCCAGCTAATTTTTGTGTTTTTGTAGAGACAGGGTTTTGCCATGTTGCCCAAGCTGGTCTTGAGCTCCTGGCCTCAAGTATTCAACCCCCTCTAGCCTTCCAAAGTGCTGGGATTATAGACATGAGCCACCATGCCTGGCCAGTTTGCTTCTTTATTTTAAACATTTGGTAATGTGAACTAGGTACAAGGTCTTTGAAGGATGGTGAGTAAACAATTTTTTT